ACCTCCTCCCCTGTGTACGTCCTCAGCCTGCTTCATTGATTGTGTTTTGTTAGATAAGCAGCATGGCCACATTCTCAATCATTGAAAGGCAACAGCTCTGCCTCTCACCAAAATCCCCAGCACCTTCAGGCAGTAAGACAGTAACTGCCTTTTGGGTGGCTTTCCCATCGATCTCCCCCCAACCCTCAATGTATATGTATTTTCACATCTCTAAGGTATACCTGTAATGTTGCATACTGGTGTGTGTGCGCCCCCCCCTCACCCACTTTTACCTAGCCACCCCAGATCATTGTTTCTCCTTTTAACAGAGGAAGGAAAAAACCTATATAAACATTTGTGAAGTGAGTTTGAGCCTTCAAAGCCAGTCCCTTCATAATTTTAAATAGAGAACTGAGTAGGATGGGGGAAATAATCACAGCCATACTAGTGACACTGCTTTCATTTTCAAAACACTCGGCAGTTGGCAAAGCATTCGAATATCCACAATCTATTTGATCTGAAGAGACCAAAATTCTGCCACCCTGAAGCTGCTTTTTGGAACATTGATTTTAAGCTGCTTATTAAGAATCAAAAGACTCAGAACCCTTGACCCTCACCCTTTCCTGCCCAAAAGATTCAGACAGAGAACCCTGCTCCAAAAAGGCAATCTTGGGCTGCTGCCTTAGCCTAATTTGAATTAAGTACGGTACACCGGAGGACGTTAGGCAGGGGCCTGTCAGCTAGAGACCCCCTTGTGTCCCTTGTTGGAGAGGCCTAGCAAGGATTTTCCTGCCATGTGCATTCTACTCTTCCTCAGTCACCCATTCTCACTTCTGAAGTCTAATACCCTTTCTTCTTCATCCAAAAGGTCTTATATACCCATGCTGCCCCGCTGGCTTGGGAATTTTCATGCCTGTGTGAATTCCCCATGCCCCGGTATTAAACTTTGACTTTCTCCTGTTAATCTGTTGAAGAACTTAGAGACGGAAGGAAAAATGTTAATATATTTTCTAGCCCCCACAGATCCCTTCAACAACCCTGGAAGGTACAGCAGACGTTATCATCTTCGTTTTCCAGATTAAACGGCGCCTCGGAGAGGGCAAATGACATGTCCATGCCCAATCTGCTACTGGGTGCTGGAGCTTGGGTTCGAAGCTTTACCGTGCTCAGCATGCGTTCCCATCTGTTACCTCGTGGACTGTCTGCCCCCATTCCTGACATGCACACCACTTGTTCCAACAAATGATTAAAAATTACCCAAGGACACAGATCCGAGAGCAGACTTGGGACTCAGATTCTCCCTCTCAGCCCGGGTTGCACGTCTTCTTGTTTTCTACGTAAAAAGAACCACTGCTGCCTTTTCCTCCAGGTTTTCTATGATTTTTTAAAATTTTAAGTTGATTTGAGAGAGAGAAATATTGATTGGCTGCCTCCTCCTGCACAGTCCTACTGGGGATTGAACCCGAAACCCGGGCTTGTGCCCTGACTGGGAATTGAACTGGTGACCTTTGGATGCATGGAATGACGCTCAACCACAGCCTCAGCGGCCAGGGCAGGTTTTCTATGGTCTGACCTGCTTTCCCCACCCAGGCTTTCATCATCACACACTTGAATTATTGCCATAGCAGACACACTAGGTTATTACTGGATTATTAAGATTAAAACAAACACTCATGGAGCCCTACTATGTGCCGGGCCTTGTGCTAAGCTCTGATGGGATGGCTGTTTCCTGGTCCCTGCCCTCACAGATCTTCCAGGGGATACAGGGGCTTGAGACATGTCACTGCAATGGAACAAGGAAAGGGCAACGATTGGAACACGTGCAGGGACCTGAAGAGGGGCGGGTAATGGCGGGCTGTTCCTTCCCGTTGGTCCGATGGTCTCTGGGTTCTCTTTTGTCATGAGCACGGAGTGTTCTGTGTTCCCTGCTCAAGGTCTTCCTGTACCTTGGTCTTTCAGTGCCAACACTTCAGCTTGGCATTCAGCATCCACCACTATCTGGCCACTGCATTTTACCATTCCTCCTCGGCACAGCCCTCCGGCCATTCACAGCTCTCTCCCGATGGGCTCAGGCACTTGTTGCTGCATATTCCTATGATCTGGCCAAAGAGTCATAGGAATCACCCTAGTACTACTTACTGCTTGTCTGTGTCGCTCAACTAAGCCATTTGTCACATTATGTCATGCAATCCTTACAACTCATTATGGTGGACATCATCGTCCACATTTTGGAGATGAGGAAATCAAGGGTCAGAGATGCTAAGCAACTTGCCTGTCTCCCACAGCCAGAACATGGCTGAGTGGAACTCGGCCCCCAGATCAAACCCCAAGTCATCCACTCTTGCCATCCCACTCCACTGAAATGAGCAGCGACAATGGCATACATTAGCGATTGGTAACTCTGTCTCCTCACTCTGGATGCTCCCACACCTGAAATACTCACTTTTGCCTTCAAGGATCTCCATGTTGCACTTCTCTCAATACACCCCAAAGACTCTCCCTCACCTTGGATCCCCTCCATTGTCGCTTGCTCCCTTTCTATCATGTGACCCATGGCCTTCGAATTGTTCTTTAATGATTTTTCATGGCGTATGTTTGAGCCTGGCTACAAACTTACCATTCAGACTGGCTAGACGGCCAACATCGATAATAATAACTAACAATTAATGTTGCTGAGAATGGAGACCAGTCATCGGTCGAGGCATATCAAGAAGGCCTCGCAGTATGATTAGTACGGGGATGAAACAGACAAAAATCCTTGCTCTCGTTCTAGTAGAAAGAGACAATAGCCCTAACCGGTGTGGCTCAGTTGGTTGGAGCGTTGTCTCATATACCAAAAGGTGGCAGGTTCGATTCCTGGTCAGGGCACAGGCCCAGGTTTTGGGTTCCGTCCCTGGTTGGGGTGCATGCAGGAGGCAATGGATTGATCACATCGATCTTCTTCTCTCCTCTCTCTCCCTTTCTCTCTCTAAAATAAATTTTAAAAATGTGTTTTTTAAAAAGAGACAATAGATGAAGTAAACACATAAAGTATTATGAGGTCAGGTGGCAATAAGTGCTACGGAGAAATACACAGCAGGGAAGGGGGAAAGGAAACCCCAAGGAGTGACATTATCTGACTGACGTTACAAAAGGCTCACTAGCTGCTGGTGGAGAAAAGACTAATAGGATGAGGGCGCGAGCAGGAAGGCCAGTTAGGAGGTAATTGCAACAGCCCAGATGTGTGCTGGTAGCGGGGCTCGGACAAGGAGTGGAAGATGTTAGAGGTGATCAGATTTAGATACATGTTGCAGGTAAAGCCAGCCTGATTTGCTGAGGGGTTTTACATGGAGCAGATTCAAGATTTTTGGCCTAGAAGGAAGGAACATCTGGAAAGATGGGGTTGCCATTAACTAAGATGGGAAGAGCAGGTTTTGAGGAGCAAACCAAGTGGAAATAGGCAGTAATCAGGTGGGTATGTGAGTCTAGAGTTAAAGGGGAAGTTCTAGTCTGGAGATGTGTCAGAGCCATCAAGGTACAGCTGATAGACACGCTAGACCAGTGGTTCTCAGCCTTGGCCGCAGATTAGAATCACCTGGGAATCTTTTTAAAATCCTGATTTCTGGGCCTCGTCCTCCGGAAATTCTGTTTCTTTGTTATGGGGAGGGGCCACAACATTAGTAACAAAGAAACAGAATTGCCGGAGGATGAGGCCCAGAAATCAGGATTTTAAAAAGATTCCCGGGTGATGCTAAGGTGCAGCCAAGGTTGAGAACCACTGCTCTAGAGTCTAGAGCAGGGGTGGGCAAACTTTTTGACTCGAGGGCCACAATGGGTTCTTAAACTGGACCGGAGGGCCGGAACAAAAGCATGGATGGAGTGTTTGTGTGAACTAATGCATGTTAACACTGCTGCTGGGGAAGGAGCGGAGGGGAGAGCAAGAGAACCCTCCGCTCTTTCGGCTCCGCGGGCCGGATAGAACAGCCGAATGGGCCGGATCCGGCCCGCGGGCCGTAGTTTGCCCACGGCTGGTCTAGAGCACTGCTTTCAATCCCCTTGGCCCCACTTCTTTCTCCAGCTGATGTAATGCAGCTGATGTTGGCTAGATTCGCAGTTGGTACAAGCTGAGAGTGGCTCACTTCTGCCTGCTCTGTGAACTTCCTGCTTCCATCCCACGGTGGCTATAGGTCAAGGTTGGGACCTCACTCAGCACTGCCCTATGTACAACCCAGATTATAGGGGCGTTGATACTCATGGGGCCACCTTTAACCGATGGTGTATGGAAGCTGGTGGGTGATTATGACCTATTCTTCCTTTGATAGACAGTTCTGAATCTCTCTGGAAAGTTCTGTGGAGCATCAGTCTCCCATTGTGGTGGTCCGCTCAGTAATGCATCCTCGAATTGGTTTCCCTCTCATTTTTTCCTGCCCCGTCCCTCATTTCTGCTCCCTAGAATGTCATCCCCGTACAAACGATCTGCATGCAAACCTTTCGTTAAATTTCTGCTTCTACGGGAACCTCGGCTAAGACAGGTGACATTTAACTCCAGGAGGCCGAATGAGATCACCAAAGGCTTCGTGAAAGATCGGGAACAGACCGAGGACTGGGCCCTGGACCCCCCCGACACGTACAGGTGAAGGAGTTGAGAGCCTACCAAAGAAGACCCTGAAACCCTGAAGAGTAACAGAGAACGTAGCGTCGTGGAAGCCAAGAAAAGAAAGGTGTTTCAAGGACGAGGGGAGGCTCAGCTGATTCTTGCTAGTCAGTCAAATAAGATCAAGGGAACTGGTGACCTTAACCAAGAGCAGTCTGTGTGGGGTTGTGGAGCAACTGAAATGGGTTTGAGAGAGAAGCTGGAGGGGAAACAGGGTCAGGAGAGCCTTTTTGAAAAGATGGGTGAAATTACAGCATGTTTATGTACATCTATATGCTGCTGTGAATGATTCAGCAAAAGGGGGAAACCGGTGATGCAGGAGAGAGGAGGGAGCATCGCTGGGGGAGGGAGGGAGGGGGTGCAGTGGCCCTGAAGGTGTTTGCCTTAGATAGGGGCACCGGCCATTTATCCCCAACTGCAGGAGGGGAGGCGGGAAAGCAGATTCCCGTTCTCACACACCAGGACCTGGCGGGTGCTTGAACTGCGTGAGGTCATTGGACTTTGAGTCTGGGCTTCCCACCGGCCCCTCCATTTGACAGCTGAGACCCAGGGAGTAGCGAGCTGCCCCAGGACACGCCGAGGATCAGATGCAGAATTGGAATTAGAACCCAGGGCTCCCCGTGCCTTGCCCAGTGCCTTCAGGCTGTGCCCTGGGGCAGAGTCCTGACCATACTCTGCCACTCACCGCACCTGTGCTCTGGGCAGTGAACAGGTAGCCTAGTGGGCTCCAGGAAGGTCATTAGGGAGGGAAATGGAGACATGGGCAAGCTTCAGAAGAGGACCAGCAAGCCACCCGGTGAGTTCATTTGCAGGTCTGCTGAGGAGGTCAAGGAGTCTCCCTAGATGTACTGAGGAGTCAACCTACTCACTGGAAGGGAAGCTGCAGACCTGCAAATCGGTTGAGAAAGATCTGCCAAAACGCAAAGGGGGGTATTGTAAACGCAAGCGCAAACAGAAGGGCACAGGGCCCTTTGGAATGTTGGTTTCTGGGTTCAAATCTTTGTCAAGCCTTGCTTCCCGGGGTGCGGTTTGGAAATAGGCTCCGGCTCAGGTCAGATAGCGTTGAACGCAGCGCAGGCGTGGGCAGTGCGGCTCAGGAGGGGACGCCGAACAGAGAGGCACAGCCTGCTGGTCCCAGGGAGGAGCCACACACCGGCTTCACCTCGTCCTCTAGGAAACTTGCAAAACCACAGCATTCTTTCCCCGAATTCCACTCATTTCACAAACATTCTCCAGGCTTTGTGCTCAGTGTTACAGATAAGCAGGTAAGGGCGTGGGGGTGGGGGGTGGGGGAGGGACGGGACATAAGAACAGATAAACAGAAAGAGGTCCTGCTCTCAAATTGTTATGGCCCTATAATGGGAACGGGCTATCCACACTGCTCAGTCTCCCGTTTGTTACCTGGTTCTGGACAGAGGCGGGCACAGGGTGGGAAGACTCAAGTCACTGCAAAGGCCGTGGCTGTGGGTTCAGAATTATAAATTATAAACTGCCCTTGGGTACAGATGCTCCCAGTGCACTTGCGTGGCCCACGTATCTCTGTCTGATCGCTGGTTAAATCCTGTCCAATCGCTGAAAGCCTGTTTGTTTCTCCACAAACAGAAGGGCCCGCTGAACTCCGGCGAGGACAGCGCCCGCAGCCAATGCTCCAAGGCAGTGGTTCTCAACCTGTGGGTCGCGGCCCCTTTGGGGGTCGAACGACCCTTTCACAGGGGTCGCCTAAGACCCTCGGAAAACACATTTATAATTACATATTGTTTTTGTGATTAATCACTATGCTTTAATTATGTTCAACTTGTAACAATGAAAACACATCCTGCATATCAGATATTTACATGACGATTCATAACAGTAGCAACATTACAGTTATGAAGTAGCAACGAGAATAATGTTATGGTTGGGGGTCACCACAACATGAGGAACTGTACTAAAGGGTCGAGGCATTAGGAAGGTTGAGAACCACTGCTCTAAGGTGTTTCTTTGGGGGACAACTTACGTGGGTGCAGCCTGTGACGCCTCTTTCCTCTTTCCACCAAAACAATACCTGAGAGACGCACAGGCCCTGCTCTGACTTCTACCAGTCGGGGCGCTGGGGGTACCATGTTAGCCAGGACAGCTTCTCTACCCAAGAAACAGTCTTGGCCCCTGTGTTTGTGTCGCTCTCGCAGGCGTTTTAAAGCACTTCAATATCAGCGCGTTCACGGACTCCTTCCCTCCTCCCCGTGCGGTAGGTCGCGCAGGTTTTGTTATCACCGTTGTGCAGCTGGACAGACTGAGGCTCCAAGAGGTGACATGACGCGACCGGGTCACATGGCTCAGCAGCAGTTGAGCTGCAAGTTGAATCCAGGTCTCCTGACGGTGAGTCGGATGCCCCTCAGCCCTAGGATGAAGGTGTGGCCATCCCTCCCAGAACAGCTGGGCTTTGAGTCCCAGCTCCAACCTCACCAGCTACGAGACCTTCGGCAGGTGGTTTAAGGGTCTCTGTGCCTCTTTCCCCCATTTGTAAAATGAGCAAACTAGCCCTGGCCGGTGGCTCAGTAGGTTGTGGTATCGTCCTGTGCACCAAAAGGTGGCAGGTTCGAGTTCCAGTCAGGGCACATACCTGAGTTTCGGGTTCAATCCCTGGTCGGTGTTTGTGCAGGAGGCAGCTGATTAATGTTTTTTTTTTTTCCTCTCTCTCTCTCTCCCCCCCACTTCCTCTCTATGAAATCAATAAGAAATAAAAAAATAAAAAATAAAATGAGCAAACTGATAGTCCCCAAGTCCCCATAGCTCTTGGTTACTGGAAATCTTGCATTGTGTGGTTTCCTGTTCTGCCTTTGGAAGTGGCAGCCAGGGGACCTGATGGAATATCTGCAAGCTCAGGATTACCCTTGAAGGGGGACCAAAGTTTTGCCCCCCCAAAATATGCCCATTAGGATCATTGATTTAAGCTTGTTATTAAGAAACAAAAGACTCAGAAAGAACCTTTGACCTCCCCTGCTTCCCTGCCTAAAGGAATTCAGGGAGAAGAACTGCTTCTGGAAGGCAGCCTTAGCATACTCACCTCAGCATACAAGAAGCAAGTCTGGCAGACGGGGGTGGGAGTGGGGGTGTGTGTGGGGGAGATCCAGGCAGGTCTGTTAGACCCCCTCTGTCTCATTGTTTGGGGGGTGAGGGGGGTGAGCAAGAATTTGTTTACCACATTTTCTCTTTCTGTGAGTTACCTGCTTTCCGTTGAATTCTCAGAACCCTTTGCCCCAAGTGGCATATAAGCCTCAACTGCCCAGTGTGTCTTTGGGTGTCATATCTATGGCACCCCCACATGTGCATCCATAATGAATTTTGGACATTTTCTCCTGTTAATCTGTCTCGTGTTAATTTGGTCATTAGCCCAGCCGCAACCCAGAGGTGGAAGAACAGGTCCTTTTATGGGTCCCCACACCTTTCAGAATGAAAACAGTGTTGAGCCAGGTGGTCTGCAGCCTGGAGCCCCCTCCAGCCCACACAGCCTGCCTGCACGTGAGAACCGGGGCCTGGGCTTGGACGGCAGCCCCGGGAAGGGGCAAATTCCAGCAGAGCCCCCACCAGTGGGTGAGAGTGGAAAGGTCGAAAGGGCGCCACTCCTGCCTGAGATTCCAGTGTCAGCTCTGCCACTGATATCGGAGAACACCTTGGACAAGTCAGGCGTGCCTCTGTTTCCTCATCTATGACAGGAAGGGAGGATTAGATAGTGTCTCAGCTGCCTTCCTGATAACCCCAAAGGGACTTGCTGGAAGACAACAGTGACACATGATGAGCAGTTTCTAAAAACTTGTTTTATTACAAAAAATTTCAAACAAATTCAAACTCAGCAAAGCAATATAGTGAACCCCCACAGCTCATCTTGTTTCATCCCTACCTCCACCCCTCCCACTGGAGGGTTAGTTGTGGAGCTCCTTTTAAGTGAAATTTACAAGCATTTACATGCAGAAATTTTAACTGTGTGATATTGATAAATGGAATTGCCCATGCAGACTATACATCTATCAGGACAGAGAGTATTTCTACTTTCCTAGAAACTTCTTTTGTGTCCATCATGGGCAAATATATAACTGACCTTATCTATACTAATAAAAGGGTAATATGCAAATGGTCGGGACGCCCACACGCATAACAACTGATCAGCTAGAGGCTGCAGGTGCACCAGGCGCAGGTGGGCAGGGGCTTGCAGTGTAGGGGACAGGGGTGGGGCGTGGTGGAGGGGGTCTGCAGGCCTCCCTGGCTCCGGCCTTCCTCTTTGGGGCAATCCATCGAGGAGCCCTGGATGGGTGGGTGGGGCCTACCTCTTTGGGGCAATGGAGCTCGGGGTTCCCGCACCGTGACAGGGCACAGGCCAGACTGGGGGACCTCCCCCTAGCCCCAGTGCAAGAATTTTGTGCACCGGGCCACTAGTTAAACAATAAAATTAAACAAATGTGAGTTGAGCACCTGGGGTTAGCAGATGCTCTCTCTTTGGGGCTGGCTCGTCAGAGTCTGATCTGGAGTCCTCAGCTGTTCTGCTTCCTGCTTCAGCCCACTCCTGCCACCCTGTGTGTCCCTGGAGGGTGTGGCCTTCTGCATGTGCTCTGTGCCCAGTTATCTACGAGGGGCCTTTGCTGCGCTGGCTGCAAATTCTCAGAAGCTCTCTTTTCTTCCTCCTGCCCTTATGCTTCTCCAGGTTTTTTCTTTTGTTCTCTTCCGTTTCTCCTACAACTGCTTTCTCATAACTGCTACTGTTTCTCTCCTTTAGAGTGTTCTCACCTTCCTGCGTTCGGCCCATCTTCTCTGAGCTCTGTCCTTTGTCTTTGGACTGTTCATATCCTGGACGCTAGACACCGAGTCATAACCCCGGGTCCAGCCCAAGGGCAGGCAGGTTGTCAACAGTGAGTGAGTGAGCCAGTGAGCGAGTGAATGCAAAGGGGCCCGGCTCTGCAAACACTTGCAGTCTAGTAACTATTGCTGTCCACTCAGGGACCCAACCTGTCAGCCTCGCCATTTCCGGACCACATCTTTCTCCTGCCTCCAGCAAGAAGCTATTTAGCTGTCCCTTTGGAAGCCCTGGCATTTGAAAGGAGGGAGGCTGATTTCCTGGCAAAATGTGACCCAAAGGACCATCCCCCTTTCCACCCCCCATCATTAAAAAAAAAAGAAAGAAAGAAAAGCAGAGCAAGCTGGGCTATCAGGGATACTTCCTGTTTTCCTCTCTTGAAAGCATCCTGGATAGATGACACTGAGGGATCAAAGGGACTGTGCCTCTGGGGGTTGGGGACTGGCAGAATGGCTTTAACCCTCTGCTGACTCCTACATGTGCGCGCACAGGCAGCTTCGGTCTTACATTTCCTGGGCAGATCTACCTCGGAGGGCAGGGGCCTTGCCATCACTCATCCATCAGACACGACGGTGCGCGATCGAAGGCTTTGTTTGAGGATCTGGAGATACAGGAATGAAATGACACAGTCCCGGGCCTCACTCATCTAACAGCAGCGACCGTAGTACTAAGATGATTGAGCACGTCCTCTGTCAGGCACTCACTACACGCCTCTCATGCATTAGATCCTCACCACAGGCGTATGGGGCACAATTATGGCCATCTGTATATGTATATAAAGAGGTAATATGCAAATTAGGCTGGGACGCTGTAACAGGTCACAACCAGACAGGAGGAGGTTGCGCAGGCAGGTGAGGCCGGGAGCGGAGATGGAGATGGAGGCAGAGACAGGGGGGCCTGCTCGAGCCGGCGCCGGGCTCGGACGGCCCTGGAGCGGACACAGGCAGGGGGGGCCAGGGGACACTGCAAGTCAGGCACGGGTCCCGGCCCCCCTTGGGGAGCCTCCTCGTGCGCCAGGCCTCTAGTTTTACAAATAAGGAAAGCGAGGCTCGCAGAGGTTAAATAACCTGTCGCAGGCGCGGGACTAGTAGATGTCGAGGCTGGGGTGAGAGTCCGGCGGCGCAACCCGCCCTTTTAGCTGCTGCCCTGCCGGGAACATGACAGTGACTCACTGCAAGTCGTTTTTACAAGAGCGGTTTATCTCTGGGCTTGGTCAGGTGGCACCGCAACGGACTAGAGCACAGGTGGGTCTGCTTACCGGCCCCCAGGACTGGAGGCAGGGCCGAGGAACCGAGGGGCCCCGCGCGGCCCAGTTCAGGGCACAGCGTGCGTGGGTTCTTGCTTCTCCTCTCCGCTCCTGGAACAGATGACAGGTAGCGGCAGCCAAGTGAGCACACACTGAGGAAGTCGCCTGGGCCTGGGCGTACACCATCTCTTCCGTCCTGGCAAAAATAAAGAGTATTATTGTCTCCGCTTTTGCAGGGCTCCTATCCAAAATCACACAGCGAGCGAGACACAGAGCCAGGATTTGATCCTAGGTTTGACCGACTCTAAAACGTGCACGTTAATTAAACCGCCTCCCCGATGCTGAAACTTGGCAGAGAGAGGAAGGAACTCCCTTCCTGCCGAGATTCCTGACAAACCGAAAGTGGCAGGTGGAGATACCAAGCAACACTGAGATCACTGGGTAGGGACGTCTGGCACAAAAGGATCTGAAGGTGCTTCCGACTCCGCAATTCTATCTCTTTAAGACCCAGAGCTCCCATGCCAAGCCTGCTCCGTGATCCTCAGAGATTTCAGGGGTGGGGAAACTGGATTGAATGCGCTGACATACAACAAGCAAAAAAAGACCTCAGCATTTTTGTCTGGCCTGGGTGGCTCTGGCCTCCCTCCTCCCTCCACCCCGCCCTGCCCCCCTCACTTATTTATTACTGTGCTATTCCCTGGCCCTGCTGCTGTGTCAATACTGATAAAAGCAAATCGCCCCACAAACAGGTGCAGCCGGAGCTGCCCCTTGGACAGCTGCCAGGGAATGTGATCGCTCAGCTGGGTGACCTGCCCCTGCCCAGCCCCCTTCTCGGGTTCCAGCCCCGGGCATGTGTCCTTGGGCAGTTAATGTCATGTTCTGAGCCTGGTATCTCAGTTGGCATCGCGGACTGAAGCTGGCAGGTGTGGTTGGGGTGGGGTGGGTGTGTGCAGGACCGAGGGGCCTCCAGGAGTTATCCATCTATTTTCTCTTTCGGTTTCTTCTGAAATTCAGAGAACACTATGGCACCAAGTCCCTCCTGCAAGTATTTGAAAATATTTCCTAAGAATATCACTGCCTAACTTTTCTAGGTTAGAAATATTTTTTTCCAGCCCTACTCATTTCCAAATTTAAAAAAAAATACTTGTAATCCAATGATCCAAAGACATTTTCTGAGCACCTCCTAGGGCTTAGCTGAGGGGTCACCTAAACCAACGTTTTGTGAGCCAACCAGAGTGCATTGGATGCTACCAAGCCCTGTGAGTCTGGTTTGGAAAAGATTATATTTCATCGTCCCTCCCCCACTTCTGTTTTGTACCCCAGCATCATTTCCCTGCTCCTCAGGGCACCGGCCTTTCCGGAAATGCCCTCGCTCAGAGCAGCCTTCTCCTCCGGAGGTGGGACTCGCAGTGGGGCCTGGGGTTGGGGCTGGATCCTGGGCCAAACTGCCCTCCCAAGGCCAGAGCCCCGGGCAGCTGGGGGAGGGGGGTGCTATGCAAATGACCGGCAGCCTGCGGCCCCCCTTATCCTGGGGCCCTCTGGTTGCCAAAACAGACCATTCCCCAGAACAGTCGCCTGGAAACGGGGCGCTGTCATAGCAGCCTCTTTGATGCGGGGAGTCAGCAGGGCTGCCAGGAGGAGCTGGGTCAGGGTGTTCAGACCTCTCAGCACCCCCTCCCAACCCAGCCACCACCTCAGGGAAGGGAGTGTCGGGAGGCCGCTAATTGGATTGGAACACTCCAGAAACACATCAGCTGCTCCTCCCTGGGGGAAAGGGGTGTGTGTGTGGGGGGGGGGGGGGTGTGCGGGCTGCAGACTCTTTGTGCTGGGTCTCCCCTCACCCAACCAGCAGCCTCGCCCTGACCTGGTCCTCAGCAGCCTCCACCCAGCCCCTTCCTAGGGCACAATGGGGCAGGCTCATGGTGGCGTGGAGGAGGCAGACGGTGATCAGATAATTACCCAAATGAAATTCAGCCCTGGGAAGGAGGGGTCTGTGATTATGCGATAGGAACTGAAGATACGGGATCTGACCTACTTTAGAAGGGCTAGGGAAGAATGCAGGTTTGCTGCAGCCCCCAAGCCAGCACCCTAACTTCATCCCTCAACAACCCCTCTTCTCAGCAGCGTCCCTCACCTCGCCCAGCCTACGCTGACTTGCCGTCCCCAAACCCTGGGAGCAGGGACATTTTTCTACCTCATTTGGCAGCCAGAGAGCTAACTTCTTGTCATTTAAGTGTCCATATCTTGCCTCTTGCCAATGAAACTACTTCTAAAAGGCAGTTCATAATTTTGCGATGGCACCCCTTGACCACGAAGAGCAGGACGGATTTAACATCCGCTGGGGTTTAGGGCCAGTGGTCCTTATCGCCCTGGGAGGCCTGGAATGTTGCCTTAGCAGCAACTGTTCAGAAGCGACTAAACCCCACAGAACTCTGGGGTGAGAGGGGAGGAGATACAGGGACAGCTGAGGGACATTCAGGTGAGCTACTGAGAGAATGAGTGAGTTCTCAGGACCAGCCCCATTATGTCCGCTGGTCACACACGGGGAAGGAGTGTGATGTGAGCACAGGTCCCTGATGGGTGGGAGGCCAGCTTTGCACTCCGTGCTGGGCAGGGGAGTCCCCTTCCTTTGCAATCCACAGAGTCCTTGGGAGTCTTACAGACTCAAGTGTAAAGTCTTCATCCAGCCTGGCTTCGTAAGGCAGCATGTGAGTGGGTAACCGCTTCCTTCTTCTGTTCTCCCTTCCCTTCCTTATGTCTGGAGGCCTACTGTGTGCCAGGCACTGGAGATTCAGAGAATGATTTAATTGGCATGGAGAAATGCCATGCATCGTAGAGGGGACATTTGCCAGCCTTAGGGTCACCTTTGATTTTGTGAGTTTTTCCCACACCCTAAATTCCACTTCTCCAAAGTGAAGGCCAGGAATTTGGTTTCCTTTTCAGACTCCCTTGCAACCACGGTGCAGGCATATGACCTCGGTTCCACCAGTCAGATGCCCCCACTTGAGGTTTTGATTTAGAAGAGGGCAACGAAGGAATTCTGGGGAAGGGGGCTGGAGAGAGGCATCTGGCCTTTAAGGCAGTGAGAGGGATATTCTGGGATCCAACTTCCATCATTGTTGAAGGGGATGGACGGGCAAGTTCCTGATTGACAGCTGCCACGGTGGCTTGTCTGGCAAAGTAGCTGTGGTCTGGGTGTCATCCCTGAACCCTGAGCCTCTGTACCCATCTTCCCTCTGGGATTCTGTGAGCCTCTTAATATTTTTATTTTTTTCTTTTGTCTCCCCCCCCCCCCCCCTTAATATTCTTAAAATGAGTTACTTTTCTGTTAGAGTGGATTCTGTTGTTTGCAACTAAGAACTCTGATACAGATGGATGAATGGATGGATGGATGGACAGATAGATAGGTTGGAAGTTGGGTGGGTGCATAAAGGATGGGTGAGTGGGTGGGTAGAAGGGTGGGTGAAGGAAGGGTGGGGAGAATGGTGGGTGGGTGGGTGGACAGGCACTATACTAGTAATATTGAGTGATATTTTGGGGAAGATGGGATTATGGGTTATTTTCTCCCTCTTTGCATTTTCTTCTCCCCTCCTCCTTCTAATTCTTTATTATTATTATTATTATTAATTATTATTATTATAGTGAAAGCAAGTTTCTTGTATATTATAAAGTTATGGAAACCCAGACGTAGGAGAGCTCCCAGCCCAGTGGGAGATCAGAACAGGGAAGACAGAGGCCAACTCTGAGCACTGAGGGTCCTCAGCCAGTATGAGCGCTGGGGGCCCTGGCCCTGGCCCCAGATCCCCAGTCTCACCACGCCTGCCTGACCACCAGCACGAAGCCTGCCTTCTCTTTCGCTCCCTCCCCGAGCCCCACGCCCAAGGCTGTGCCCACCGCTCAGAAAGCATGCGCTTGGCTCATCCTGCCCTGTGACATTGTTCCTGTCCTTACCCAACAATCCTGTTTACCTTGAGCAAGGATGACACACGCCTGTGACTCATCCCACATTGTTCTGCCCTCCCCCGGCCCTGACTTCCAGCGGCACTGACTGTCCCCTCGGCCGCCAGTGCCGCCGCCTGGCTCTGCAGCTCGCTTCACGTGGCACGTGCCATCCCCGGCAGGCTGTCCGCTCCCCGGGAGCTGGGAAGGCAACCTTCGTGCCTTTTGCAAACCCCGTTCCCCACAGCTTTGTGGGAAGGAGGATTTCATTATAGAAGATGATGATCATGTGTTTCTTTTTACCTTGACGACTTTCTCCATAGTAAAATTTCAGGCTTTTGAAGGCAGAGCCCCCATTCCTTCCTTCAGTCCTTCCTGCATTTATTCACTCAGCACTCAATGCCGGGTGTTGCAATTTAATAGCAACAAATAGCTATCGAGACAAATAAGTAGTAAAAAATAATAGAAAAGCTCAGATAGCCAAGCGTGCAGGGGAGAGAAGAGAATGGCTGGCTGGGGGAGAAAGGCTTGTTTGTGGGAATAATGTCAAGTGCTTATTTTACGATGGTTCTGGTCTCAGTGCTTAGCTTGCACGTTCACTGAACCTTCTCAACAGCAACACGGCCCGAAGCTCAGTTCTGACTCCCGTTTTCCAAGGGAGGAAGCGAGGCCCTGGGAGCTTTTCTGTCACCCATGGTCGCTGCGGAGCTGGGATGTGCACCCAGGCCCCTCGGCTCTGGCCGCAATGAGCCTAACCCAGTGGTTCTCAACCTTCTGGCCCTTTAAATACAGTTCCTCGTGTGGTGACCCAACCATAAAATTATTTTTGTTGCTACTTCATAACTGTCATGTTGCTACTGTTATGAATCGTCATGTAAATATCTGATGTGCAGGATGGTCTTAGGCGACCCCTGTGAAAGGGTCGTTCGACCGCCAAGGGGGTCGCGACCCACAGGTTGAGAACCGCTGCCCTGTCCTGCCTTGGCGGATTCAGGGAGGTGAGTGAGTGGGCACCAGGCATGGAGGCCTTCTCCCCAGGCCAGGCCCCGAGCGGCTGCCTGCTCTGTCAGCTCGACATGGGCACACAGGGGAGCGTTATGGGGCGGGGGGGGGCGGTGTGTGTGCGCTCGGTAACCGGTGAGAACCCACTACCCCAGCCTTGGACTTCATGGCTCTCTTTGTTTCTCGCAGAGTAATTTCAGTGCTGAGGAGCGGTGACCTCAACAAAGTTGTGAGGCTGGCAGAACAGCTTCTCCCCAGGGGCGGCAGAAAGACCGCCTGGCTCTGGCGTCACGGGCACCTGGGATTTGGTCCCAGCCCTGCCGCTGGCCAGCTGAGTGACCTTGGACAAGTCACTCAATATCTCTGAGCCTTAGCTGTCTTACGTATTAATGGAGGGCAATACCCGCCTAGTCCTGACATAGGTTAGGTGAGGCAATGCATGGAGATCAGTTTAGAATCTGTGCCTGGCACAGAGAGAGCTGGCCTCACAGGGCTTCTCGTCTAAGTCTCAGTGTCTCATCCACAACTCCAAAAGCCTAGGAACTCTGAAAACTCAACACGTTTGGCAAGAAAACTTGTCCTGAACGAATGCACGGTCCTTGGCCGTCTTTCCATAGCCCCACCTATTGTGATGATCAATATATTTCGTTGCAGAAATATG